TCACACACAAACACACACACACACACACACACACACACACACACATACACACACACACACACACACACACAAACTATGGTTAAGCATGTTTTTGATCATTTACATTTAGCCATTTTGCTGACGCTTTTATCCAAAGCGACTTACCATTGGGGAATACATAAAGCGATTCTTCTTAAAGAGGCAAACAGACACAGGAAGTGCTCGTCCCCAGTGACAAGTTGATGTGCTTTGGATACCTCCCCTCCCCAAGCCACCCTGAAAGACCTACCAGTGAGATAGGATTCAAACCAGCGAAGAGGAATCCCTGTGATGCCCAGTGATGAGAGAGCAGACAGGAGGATCTGATGATTGACAGTGTCAAAAGCAGCAGATAGATCCAGCAGAATAAGAACTGATGATTTGGAGTCAGCTTTTGCAATCCGCAGGGCTTCAGTGACTGACAGTAGAGCAGTCTCAGTTGAATGGCCACTCCTGAAGTGTTTTGATACTTCTGCCTAATGTGAGCTTCAGACACTGATGCAGAAGGACAGAAATGCCTGGGGCTTCATTAGACTTTGAGGAATGGAGGATTTCAGGTTGTTTTGTGATGTTTTTGCTGAGAAACACGTGGCGCTTCATGCAGCTCACTGAGTGTATTTTGATGTACAGACTGAAATATTAAAGCGCATTCTGTAAATCAAAGCTGCAGATCTCCAATGTTAAAGTCGGCATGAAATAAATATTCACCCTATATATCTGTTTTCAAAATGCATGCTATAAATATTATTGTGAATGATTCATCTGTGCATTAAAAAAAAATAAATCTTGTTATTTACAATCAAAATTACTTCTACATAACTGGATCTTCCAGTGAATGTCAGTTTTCTCTCTGGTGACGTATGCAGGTCTCCTCCAGTCATAGGCAGCTCAGATCAAGCACCCACAGGAAAAACTCAAGATATTCTATTCACTATCATATTAGCGAAACAGATCTGGCAAACTATCCCATGCATATTTGTGTTTGCGCTCTGGAGAGTGTTAAAATGTTTCTTTTTACATCGTGTTTTTTGCAGCGTTGAGCACTATAGCCAATCACAGACATATCTGATTATTTATTGAACGCAACTGCCAATCAGAAGCGTTTAAGTTACAATCCACCAGAGTTTTTGTCCAGTGCAGAGTTTTGCAAACTCACGAATCCTCTCATTATAACAAAACTTCATGAGACTGCGATGAACTAAGACGAGGGACAGCTTTTTAGTGATTATAAAGGGGGTGCTCTTTGTGTGCTTTCTAGGCTATATATAATCCAACACAAACTGGCCACACGAATCGTTACGCAACAGCCTGTTGTGTATTTTATCTAAGGATTTTCTCTAAGATCTAGCTGCTCTGAGTTTCCCTGCCTGACTGACAGCTTCACTTTAAAGAAAGACCTTCAGTCAGGAGAGATTTCCCATCATGCCGTCTGTTTATGTATCTGACGGTCGTTCTGACAGCGGTCTCTGTCGTATCGCTGGTGTTTTACTGCACTACATGTTTGTTTGATATTCCAGCTGCACACAAACCCGTCGGGGTCGAGACCTAGAATATCTGTTTCACTGACGTGTGTAGAATGAGTAGAAAACAGAGGAAACGGAAGCAAACAAGAGTGAAGCAGCTGATAAACAAACGTTACGCATCCATCTGCAGGCCTGAGTCAGTCCGACAGGAATACAGATCCAGAGAAACAAACACAAACACCCAGAGCACCACTCCAAACTCCATCTGCTGCTGGATTATTTTCCTTTAGCGTTACTAAAATATGTAGGAACCGCAAGTGTGTCAGACAGACAGGAAGTGAGCATTGCAGACATAGGAAGTATTAGTTAAATGGAATGTTCACACTGACTTCATTTACTCTGCTGATGCCATTCAAGCCTGCATCTGTACTTTCTTCCTCTTATGAAGACGTTTTGAGAAATGATCAGTGTTTTTGTCCATACAGTGGAGGTCAGTGGGGTCCAGTTTAACAGAGGTTTGAATGACATGAGGGAGTAAATGATACATTTCCAGTGAACCGTCACTTTAACGAGTGAACATTTATTTTATTTATTTTCACAAAACGAGTTTGTGAGTGAGTGAGTGAATGTGTGTGTGAGTGTGTCTGTAGGTGAGTGTATTCGTGAGTGTGTGTGTGTGTGTGTGTGTGGGTGAGTGTGTTAGGTGAGTGTATTTGTGAGTGAGTGTGTGTGTGCGTGTGTCTGTAGGTGAGTGTGTGTTAGGTGAGTGTATTCGTGAGTGTGTGTGTGTCTGTAGGTGAGTGTGTTAGGTGAGTGAGTGTGTGTGTGTGTGTGTGTGTGTGTGTCTGTAGGTGAGTGTATTCGTGTGTGTGTGTGTGTCAGCAGGTGTTTTTGTGTTTGTGAGTGTGTGTCAGCGGGTGTAGTTTCTCATTAGTCATGTGACAGATGGTTCTCTGGTCTCCTGCAGTCGTCGGTGCAGCGTGACGTCTCTGTAACGCCGCGAGCGAATCTGTCGACACGATTCATGTGAGATTCTCTGGGTTCATATTGTCTGAATGTCAGTGAGAACTCTGTTTGCATTGTGAAAGTCACAGTCCCAGCGACTCGTTGCTTGTTATTTCAGAGCCGTCAGAGGAAATACAGCAGCATGATCGCTTTTACATCAAACACATGCTGTCACGTCTTCAGCATTATATCACCTGTGTTGTTTTCCTTTTGAATGAAGGTTATTTTTCTGAGATTTGCTCTTGTTTTAAGCATAAACCTTTATCATAATACACGACTTCTAGTCATATGTGTTATTTGTGTCTTGCATTTGCAAATAAATGTATCTAGATTTTAAAATTTTTAGATATTTGTATTGGAAAACAAGACAGAAAGAAGAGGAAGATCATCAGTGTCTACAGTGCATTTGTTCATTTAGAAGCAGCTTTTAAATTGAACTTAAAGCTTTAATACTAACAAATGAGAAAATATGTTAATTGTCACAAACAGTAAACCAAACAAACATCTGATGAGCATTATGGCTCTTTTCAATGTTGTATTCATGAGTGGCGGCCAGAAAAAGGATCTGAGCGAATCTCAGTGTTTCTCTTGAGCTGTTTTCCTGCTGTGAATCAAATGGTTTTTAAACATGAATAACAGTGTTTAGAATAATTCTGTAATGTAAACCGGTTTGATGCACTGATTAAGAAAGCGGGTGGCGCGTGTGTTTCTCACATGTGTCTGTATGTTGTGGTGATACTGAATAATGATGGATGAGCTGAATACTCTTGACTGCTTCGGCCATCTGTGTGTTTGTCTCTGACTCTGCAGGACACACTGAGAGAGCATGAAAAAGATTTATATTGGGAAAACCGCACTAAAAGCACCAAGAAATGGTAGTAAACATCAGAAGAGGAGGTAAGAGTCTAAAATCAGAAAACAGAAAGCGAGTTATTGAACCATCAATCCATCCATCAGGCTCTTCATCTAAATGTCATCAGCTGAAGCCATCAGACCCACGTGTGATCGATGCCATCAAGCAGGTGTACGCTGCTCAAATCCAGTTACAGCCAAACAGACATTTCCTGATGCGTATTCCTGAACTGGAAACTGTGAGGCTGAATCTTATTTTGGTCCTGCAATGGGGTTTTGTTCACGTATGGACACTCACTCACACACACACACACACACACACACACACACAC